TCCCTCCCTTCCATCCTCCCTCCCTCCCCTCCTCTCTTGCTCTCTCTCTCTGCTGCTGCTGCTTTCCATGTGCCTCTGTAATGTTTGAAATCATCTATAAACTGTCTTCATACCTATGAGGCTGCTTGGATCAGAAAGCCAGAGCATCTGGAATTTTGACGAACATCATCAAATTATTCTCCAGTAGGATAGTACAAAATTAACATATAAAGGGCCAGGCAAAGTGGCTCACACCTTTAGTCCCAACACTTGGGAGGCAGAGGCAGGTGTACCTCTGTGAATTCAAGCTCAACCTGGTCTACATAGAAAGACCAACCAGGACTACACAGTGAGACCTTGTCTCAATAAAACAAACCAAAAAAATAAACCCCATAAAGCTGCCTGCCGTGATTATGTGGTACTTCCATGCAGAGTCTACGCCTTCACTGTGTTTGGGCTTGATACCTTGGGCTGTTAATAATCAGTTTACCTTTCCCAGGCACACTTTGTAGACCCAGGCTTTTGGATTCAACACCTGGCTGACATCATGAGTGGTATCAGTCAGGCTTGTGTCACTGTGACAAGATACCAGGCATTTCTGAAGAAGGAATTATCTTCAGAGACTTCAGTTCAATGGGCTCTGTTGGTTCTGGACTTGGAGAGACAGAACACAGTGCTAGGTGAAACAGATGGAGAAGGAGAAGCAGGAAAGAGTTGCTGGGTTAAGATAGACCCATAGGAGGCACATCACCAGTGCCACACTTCCTTAACCAGGCCCCACTGACCACAGTTTCCGCAGACTCTTCAACTGTGTGTCTGATTCTGAGTCTGCCAATCAGTGGACAAGATGATTACATCACAATACTTCAGCTCTTGGTGTTTCCAGAAATATGCCACCAGACACACCCAAAGTTGTGCTTTACTACGGTTGATGTTTCTCTGCCACATCAAGTTGACATGTCAGTTATTGTCATGAATTGCATATGTCACCAACACTAAGAACTATCATTCCCCAGCCTGGCTTTGGAGGTTTCGTCTCTGCCACAGAAGGCACAAGTGGTCCATGTAAAGACCTGTGAGCACTTTGTTTTGGTTGAGTGCCCCCAGAAGGCAGATCACTGGCCCTAAAACCTTGTGCTTATTTTCTGTAATAAGCTTTGGTCAGAGCTGATTCTTGCTTGCCATGGAAGTTCTTGTTGAAGAACCGCATGCAGTTCCTTGGGGAACGGAGAACACGGTGAGCCTCTCCCCCTCCAATCTCAGTGTGCTAGCAAGGTAATTTGAAGAAAGCCAGTTCTGAGGTTTCAACTACGTGAGTTGTGCCTAGAACTTACTATTTGAACTACTTGGCTGCTTCTAGGCAGGTAGCTTCATGGTAAAGGCATGTGTGAGGCCCAGATCCATCCCAACACCACAGAATAATAATGAATTTTTCCATTAGAGACACTTAAGTTGACTTTAGAAAATAACTAAAATTTCAGATATGAACATCTTTTGTTATTGAGCCTTTAGGGAGTATTCTGGTTCATAAATAAACATTAATAAGCATCACTCTGTGATTTTTCAAAGATCCAACATCATATTTTTCATGTGAATATTGGCCCAGACCCAGAATATAGAACACAAACGTGGCCAGAACAGAAAGAAATAGAACCTAGGGAAATAATTTTTGAAAGGTAGGATCCTAAAGCATTTGTTTTATTATCTAAACTCAATATTTGCAGGGTGCAATTAAATACCATCATCACAGTCTGCTGAAAAATATGGAAAATTTGGAAATATTTACTCTGGGTTTTAAAAAGTCTGATTTTAGGATTGAAAACCTGAGCCTGCAAGGTAGCTCAGCAAGGAAAGATGCTTGCTGAGGAGACGTGGCAACCTGCACCTGAAACCTGTATAAGTAAAGGTGGGGGAGAGAGCTGACTCCTGAAAGTTCTCCTCTGACCTCCATGAACACACTATTTCACACACACACACACACACACACACACACACACACACACACGCCAATAACGAAAATTAACAGACTGTGGTGGTACACAGCTTTAATCCTAACGGCTAGGAGGCAGAAGCTTCTGTGAGTTTGAAGCTATCCTGATCTACATTGCACATGCCAAGCTAGCCAGGGTTACATAGACCTTGGCTCTAAACAAATAGAAAAGATAATAAACTGATTGTTTATATGAGTGTCCCATCTGAAGTCAGCCCAGGGGACCAGGAGTGAAGATCTGAAGGCAATAGGAGAGGTTTACTTTTAGATATGAGAATCTTGAAGGGTTTTTGTTTTTGTTTTTGTTTTGGTGTTATTGTCTATTGTGTAGAAATCCCCAAGAACCCTACTGTATTTTCCTTTATCATGGCATCCACTTTGAGGATCTGGAATGACTCCTTTCTAGGGAAAAGTGTCTATGTTGTCTTCGACAAGAGTCATCTGTCTCAGGTAGAGCTAGGGGTTTGGGGATTGGCCTCACTAGTCACTAGATCAATGGTAGAAATAAATGCATTCTGAAAATACA